CTCATTTGCTTTAAACAGATTTTTCCTACATAATCATCAAGCATCTTACCTATTGGATTACTGTGCATTATATGAATCTATCCTCTGCATAGGCATAAGCAGCCCTGACACCACGTGACACAAGCAGCTGAAGAACAAAGAACTTGGGTTACCTGCCTGGGGGAGAAATGTCCATGGCAGTTCTCCAACCAGAACCCACATCTCCACAGTGGAGAACAATTCCTTAACCACAAGACCATCCTTTTCAATTTCAGCCTGAGGTTCAAAGTTATCTTCTTCCAAACGTTTCTCTAAGCATCACTGAAGGGCAGAGAATAATGGATTTCTCAGCCTCCCTCTCACCTTGTTGAAATTCTTTCTCTGATTTCACCCTACCATTTGAAGGGCCTCCTCCATTCTCCTGAACCAGCTGGTTTAGAGGCAACACCAGAAGCTATTCACCCAGCTCATGATTAAAACAGATAGGTTTAATCAACCACTAATTAAACAAAGACAAAGTGCATCTTAACTGAAAGTTCTAATTTTCCTACAAAAAAAAAATAGGGATATACAATCAAAGAGATTACTTTTTTCTTTTTTTTTTTTCTTTTTTTAAGTGAACATTAAGGATAAATACTTACAGGGAAAAAGTTTCAACAGCAAAAAATGAAGGAAGTGGAAGAACAAAAAAGAAAGCTTACATTTGAATGTGATTATTTTTGCTATACAGATTTCAGGATTAAGAAAAAAGGATTAGTGCCTTAATCCAGAACAGAATTTACTAATAACTGATTTCTTTTGACATTTTAAATTCCAAGTTGATTTGAAACTAATGACATAGATCTTAATTTCAATAATGTAAGACATGCAACTCCTGAGTGTTCAGAACAGAAAATATCCTGTTTCATTTGTTCAATTTAATTAAAACACATTGCTTTTAGGTAGTTTTCTTCCTTTCCAAATTGCCTCCTCCTACAAACAGAATCTAAGTGTGAATGGACAACACAGTTTCTAGTAAAATCCATTTTGCAAATAAAATATTTAGTAGAACGTTAGCCCAATATTATCAAAATGTCTTGAAAATTTTAAATGTTTCCACAATTCCTAACAAATTATAACCAGGCTTCCAAAATGTAAGGAGCAAAGTTCCAACAACAGAAGAGAGAAACAGTTGCATCTCCAGCTCCTTAAAATAGTTTGCCCTTTCCCAAACTCAGCAAATAAACCCTGGAAGATATTACAACGCTACAAAAAGCCCCATATAATTATGTCAGAAACACATTAAAAGACACAGTGTGGGGTTGTTGTTAATTTGATTCAAGGAAGAAGACAAAAAATTCCCATTTCAGCAAATTCCACAAATATTAAATACGCACATGGTTATTTTCTCCTCAGATACTATCTACTGTTAGAAACCTGACAGTATGGTTTATTTTATATTAAAAAGACAGTTTATTTCTTGAGGACAGAATTCCCTCCCAGCAGCTATATGGGTATACCTATAGCCATATAGTTTGTTCAGTAACCACCTACCCATTTCTTACATTGGAAAAAGGTCACAATTCATTGCTAGAACAATTGGACCGGTGCAACTGAAGAATTCCAGTTTAAAAAAAAAAAAAATGCCTGAAAGTATACTTTTTGTTGACATCCAAGCTAACTCCCAGCAGCTAACTCCCAAAAGAAGTTTGGTGGTGCCCAAGCACAAGAAGTACACTGGACATGATTCGTGCAGACTGGTAACACAATGTGTTTCTCAGCTGTGAGAGGAAACAGGAATAGACCAAAGCAATGCTTTAGAGAACACCAGGGTTATAGAATAATTCACACAGAGCAGTTCAGCTCAGAAAAGCAACAACATCATCCATCAGCTGGGGCTCCATTTGTTGTTGTTACAAATCCAAATGTAAGCCCCAGCCCAAATGCAGATGATCCAGGGGTTTATACGCACTTGCAGGACAAAACTCTGCAAGCACAAGTACTAAAAACATTTTCAAGGAAAAAGCGGGGAAAGGGAGGCAGAGCACATGTGACTTTGACACCACTTTGGGCAAATGGAGTTTTAAAACTTCTTACAACACTTTACCGATCTATTCAAAACCAGGATAATAATGCCACAGGCAGTAAATATTTCGTTAATATCAAATTAACTCATGCAATATACGTTTTGTGTGACATGAGATGATTCTACAGAAACATTTTTGTCCATCAAACCCACACAACTCCCATTTAAAAAACAAGTTACTCCTTTCCCATACACATAGAACAGGTAAAACCCCATAGAACTGCTCTGTAACAGTCCTTCAATTTCGGTAACATAATTAATTGTAATCTCATAGGCAGTCAGATGCCCCGATGTCTCAGACCAGACAGAAGTGTTCTTATGTCAAAGTGTCTCTGTTCTAGACTAAGTTCCGCTCTCTGCATTCATACCTGTGTAAATCCTGGGACAGTTACAGACTTCAGTGGAGATGCTCCTTAGCACCTTTATCACACAACAAACTGCCTCAAAACCACCAAACAAAAAAAGAAGTCTTTCCCTCTGCTTGTTATAAAGGTGGAAAAGAACTTCACTCATTTACAGATCAAGTTGTTCCTGACCTGCTAGAGCAGAACAAATAGATTTTTTTTTTAGTAATAAACAACAAACCCTCCAAATTCTTAAAATAAGAAGTAATGCAGCTCTCCTGATCAACTGAATCTGAGGCCTTCGATTACTTTAGTTAATGCTTATAAATGCAGCGTTATGCTTCAGTATTCATACTCAGCTGCCTCAGCCAAAGTAAGACTATTTTGCACACACGTTAAAGGACAATTGATAAAACATCACACTAATTTATTGCAATTCACATGAAAATAATTTCTTTAGGCTTGTAGAGGCTACTCTGCACAGTAAGTGTTGGATAACCCATGAAAGCCTTTTAACTTCAATACCACATGGCATAAGCTAACATTAAATAGATTTAAATTATTTAGGCTAATGGGTAAGGAGCTTTAAAGAAGAACATTCCAAATTCATGATCACTGAACTCTGACAGTTTTTGCTTTATTTTTCTACTTTATTTACATTCACACCATCTGGCTGCATCGATCATACAGTTAAACAATCTTGTATTTTTTCAGATAAAGTAAACTCAAAACTAATTTCTATGTTCATTCAGTAACACATGTTCTCCTTATAGATTTGTAGGTGTCAGCTACGAAGTCACTTACCAAATCTTACAGACTGAGCTTCGATTCACAGAAAACATACTCTATGACAAGTATTCAGAGGGCTAAATGGACAACCACGCTCAAACCCACACATCACTCTTCGTTTATTGAGTGTTGTAACACCAACTTTGGTAAGCCGCAAGTTTCAACTGTTCTGTTGAGAACTTCTATCAGATCCCCCATCCCAACTAACTGATACACACAAGGACAGAACGGAGTAACTGAACAAACTAAAGTTACTTAGTGTAAGAGCTCTGTCTCATCATACACCACTTGCTCAACCAACCAGATTTACAGAAAAATAAAAGTAGCAATTGACAAAGCATGGTAAAGCAGCGTTAGAAAAGACTGCACATGGACACTGATTTCCAAGTGCTGTGGTAGAATTACTTAAGTGACGTTTATCTTTTTTCCATGATGTTTTCAGGTAAGTTCCTCAGACATACCACTTCAAGCTGTCAGCCTTACCAGGGATTTAATTGGTGCCCAAATACAACAAACTGGCACTTCTAGACCCAAAGACTTATGAGCAAAGACCTTTATTTTGGAATTTCATCGGATTACATGAAAGTGACCCTTAAAATCACTCACAGTTAGTAAAGGAGTTACCATTTCTGCAAAAATAGATGGAGGTGTTGGGGGAGAGGGGGGGGAGGAAAACGGTGGGGTTTTAATTTTTAGTCATGCAGTTAAATCCTACATTTTAGATATTGAAACGTGTCTATTTGGTTTTTAAACAAAACTACAGGAGAACTGCATAAATCAATAAACAGATACAAGTCTAATGTAAATCTAGCACAGAACTGCAGTAACCAAATGATAGTCAATGGCCTTCTATATGCCTACAGTGAAGCATTCTAGCTTTATGAAGATGAGTGTGTATCCAAATCATACCAGACGTATTCCTATTCCATCCTAGCTGGCATACCTGTGCATGCCCTCCAGTGTATGGAATTAGACTGGCTCCTGAAACTTTTCAGGCAGTATCGCTACAGGACTCCTACCACTGATTTAGCTCCATGTGAGTTAGCATCATAGCATCACCAGCATTTGTGCCATTTACCTCTGCTTTAAAATTACTGTCAGAGCATCGAGGACCCAGCCATTCCCATGTTCTTACTGCTTGGGATCACAAGCAACAGCAGGTTTTGGTAGGTTTGGGGTTTTTTTTGGTTTTTGAAGGTTTGTGCGGAGATTTGTAATTACTCCTGTAAATGTTCTCTCTATAGCATTTGCTTCTCTTCAAAACTATCACTGTGATGCCTTACATTAAAAAGTCGAGTTTTAGATCCACCCAGTAAGAGGTCAAAAAGTAAAACACAAGTAAGAAATTCTCTCTCTTGATTTCAACAGATCCCAATACAACATTATTAATTCCACAGTCTGGCTTCAACTCTGCAAAAAAATCTGCACCAAGACACCAGATTTCAAACCAGACCTTCCCCGAGACTTCCACAGATGCATATCAGCCTGTCCACACCCAACAAATTGCAGGACCAGGGCCTGTCCCCGTATCAACATAAATTAGGACTTGTCAAACAGGAAGGACATAGGAACAAGAAGAGATCTCATTAAACACACAGGTAACTGTTTCCACTGTCCCACCCCGTAGCCAAAAATAAATACTAGTAATAATCACAAACGCGGCATTTCCCCCCATTTATTCTGGGAGGCTCTCACACAGTTTTTAATTCTTTAGTTATCCAAGACAACTTCACGGAAGAAGGGAAACTAACGTGACAGAAAAACAAGCAGCAAGGGAGAACCGCATGTGCCGCCTCCGTTCCTCCCCCCCGCCCCGCCCGCACCTGCGGCGGCAGCGCCGGCGGCCACCGCTCCGGCCGGGCCGCCCTGCGCCCCCCGCCCCGGGACCGGGCCGCCCTGCGCCCCCTGCCCCGTCCTTACGCCCAGCTGCTCCTTCGGCTGGGAAAACACACAAGGAAAGGCAAATGAAGGAAAGCGGGCGCGGAAGGGAAGGGAGCCTGACCTCGGCCAGGGCTGGCGGCACAGCCCGGCCTACCTGCCCGCGGCGGCCGGGGAGGGGTCGGGTCGGGGGAGCGGCGGCGGCGGCCGCAGCCCGGACACCATCTTGGGGGCAGTTGGGGGTGAGG